TCCACTGACCCCAACCGGGTTTTCGGCCATTTTTGACTCTTAAAGTGAATTTACCTTGTTTTCTTTCCCTGATCCCAAAGGAAAAGGCCTGAGAAGGGAATATGTCCATTACTTAACCTGTAAGGTTTGCCTTGCTAAATTCCTCTTTATATACAATAGGGGTTTTACAGATTTGTGTTGAGCTTTTCAGAACTTTTAAAAAATAATATGTGAATGTGATTTCAGATTGTGTGTGTGGGGGGGGGGGGGCTTGTCCCTAATTTTCCATTATTATTCAGAATAAAGTCTTAATTATGGATGCTAATGCTGATCTAAAATGTAGAAATAATTAACTTTAATTCAAACCCACTTTGAATTGTGTTTAATGTAGAGCAGAGTAAGTTCAATTCTGTTGCTTTTGTAGGTGCATGTGAGGGAACCTTGGCTTGCTCTACCTGCCACCTCATCTTTGAAAAGCACATATACGACAAATTGGAAGCAATCACTGATGAGGAGATGACATGCTTGATCTGGCGTACGGGCTACAGATAGTAGATTTAGGGCCACTTCAGTTGTACTGATAGTCTGGGAAAATAAAAGTTTTACTAGTTCACGTCTGTGTAAGGCCAGACCTGTGTGTGTAATAGTGATCTTTCTGCATAGATAACAGTTAAAAACGTTGAATATAAAATGTGACATTTCTCTTTGTTTCCACTATTCCACAGTTTAGCTCTTATGAAACTTTTCTTTTTTATAAAGTAAAAAAATAAATGTTATTTAGTCTATTTTTATTCCAGGGATTACTATTTGCCACAATTTAGTGAATTGGGATTAAATTTAATGCTTTTTATGGTATCATCGAAGGATAGATTTGATAATTGAATGAAATTATAATGGAAAGTTTTACCTACTTGAGAACAGAATTTTTAAAATACTTACTATATAATAGTAATTATGTTAAGATGAAGTTCTACTTCTAAGTGTACATTAAACTACACCAGTCAGGTTATTCTTGTTATTAATTAATAGGTAGAATTACTCTTAAAATTGGTAACATCTAAAGTAACAAGTGAGTGGTATCAAGTGATGCCTTATTCTTTTTTAAAAAAATCTTTATTGTTGAAAGTATTACAAATGTCCCCCCTACCCCCATTGACCCCTTCTAGCCCACACCCACCCTCCACCCCTCCCCACCCCAGGCCTTCACCACCCTATTGTCTGTGTCCAGTTATGCATATATACATACAAGTTCTTTGGTTAATCTCTACCCTTCCACCCACCCACCCCCACCTTCCCTCTGAGATTCAACAGTCTGTTCCATGCTTCTTTGTCTCTGGATCTATTTTGTTCAACAGTTTATTTTGTTCATTAGATTCCACATATGAGTGAGATCATGTGATACTTGTCTTTCTCTGACTGTGATGCCTTATTCTTAAACATTACCTGATAGTTTGTTTGGAGCCAGGAAAAGTAGCTAGTTGATTTACTGTGTAAGGGGCAAAATAATGAGGGCTTATGTGATGTTGGCTTTGGTGTTTACCTGTAATTTGGTGACCCTAATGTAAAATAATAATAAAAAATTAAAAATAATAGTAATAATAATAGCTTTATTTCAGGTGTATTATGTAACTACAGTTTTGTTAGAGTCTTAGCAAACTATCTTATCTAAAAACATAAATTTTCTTATCCTCACAAAAATGTTTAGAGCACATTCTAAACCCCATCTCCCCTGAACAGATGTAAGTACTTTCTCCTCACACCTTTTGGCTTTTACTCTCTATGGCATTTGCCACAAGCTCATATGTTATACTAATAGCCCTGCCCACAAATCGGTGCACCAGTAGCTCGCTGCCACCCTCCGGTAGCTCTCCACCTGCTGCCCCGCACCCCCCACCCCCCATAGCTTGCTGCCCTGCCCTCTCCTGTAGCTCTCCACTGCCCGCTTGTAGCTCGCTGCCCCACCCTCCTGCTCATCTGTGATCCGGTCATTACGCGGTCAGTCGTTACGTAATGACCATTTGCATTTTACATCTTTATTATATAGGATTATCTGCAAATATGTCTCATCTCTTCTATTTGATTAAAAGTTCACTCCTTAATACTGATATTAGCAACTAATCCTCCGCATAGTCCAGTGAGGAGCCTGTTTATTATCCATCTTTAGGATGAGATTAGGAAATGAATGTTTGGGGAGGGGCATTAAGAAAGTGTACACGCCACGTTCAGGCTAGATTCTGGACCACTGGTCTGTTTGGCTCTCAGGTTCTAACCCACTGCTGCCTCCTATTGCATCCCTGGGCGCCCAGCATGTAAGAGGTGTTCAAACTATTGAAGTGAGTTGCTGCTCTTTGTACCCCCACTGATACTTAGTGCTGTGCCTTGAGATGCTCTGTTAGTGTCTGATGAATGTGCTAATGAAACCAAGACTTCCACATCACATTCCATCAAATCGAAGACAATTGGATTGTAAGACTGGCATTTATTTTTGTTTGCCACTAAGAAAGAAAAGAGCACTGCTAGTAAAAATATGGCACAAAATTATCACTTAACCTATTTTGTGCATAGTAAAATAGCTATTTTGAATTACCTAGACATACATTTGTACATCATTGTTAAAAAAGGAAAATATAAATAAAATTGGTAGTAATTCTGAAAAAGGGAAGAAAATGGGATTATAATTATTCTTCCAATGACAAATAATTGCTTTATGAATATCAATTTACACATTTATGAATATCAAGTTTACACTCCGCTGTGTTTCTGTATTAATTCTTTCTTCTGTAATCCTTTTGCGCTTACTTCCGGAGTCCCCATGGGAGGAGGAGATATTGTAGAAAGCTTTATTTTGTGGAATTGCACCCCTGAGTTTCCAAGGTCCCATTTCCCTTTGTCTTGCCAAGAAAAAAAGTCCCATTTCATTTTCAGCAAGGCTAAGTTCAAAGCCATTGTCGAGTTTTTGTTTCCTGTTGGAGCAGTGTCCAGTCCAGCATCGGGCTAGCTTAGTTGGTGTTTCTAGCTGCAGTCCATTAGTTCTTTGCATGTGGGGTCTTCAGGGCCACATGGCTATGGAGGGAACACAGGTGAATGAGACTCCTTTGTCTGCGGGATTATGTATTCCCAAATTTTTGTCGGTTTGCATTGGCCCTGCCCCCTTTAGCTAATGATCTCTGTTCTCAGGTTTGACTGACAGGCATCTTCCCTATGTCATCCCCACTCACTGTGCATGTACCCATCTTCCCTTTATCCAGTCCCTTCCGCCAGTGATCTGCAGGGGATGGGCTGGTGGTTCCCTGGGGAGTGTGAAATTGCAGCTTCCTGGTGAAGCTGCCCAGATGACATGCCTATAATGTTTGGCCTCCCCTTTGCTCCTTTCCTATTATTAATAACTAGCTAATCACAATGGTATAATTTTGACTGGTAGTTAAATTCAACATATGTAGTAGTAACATACTTCTTGTAACTCATTTGAAGAGGCACCTATATGAATATTGTGACCAAGTTTGCAGCACTGATGTGACTGCCACCTCCCAGTGTAGCAGTGATTGTTAGATGCCTTTAATTTTAAGATTTAACTGTATTTTAGAGATGTTAAAAATGTGGGGAAAATATATATTTGATAATTGATGACTTATATGTGTGTTTATTCCAAATTTTTTGTTTTAAAGACTTTCTTTATAGTCTGTGTATGGTTTTAATTATCTGGGAATTGATTAATCATTTTCTTGGCATTGCTAAAATCTCAGTTCTCTTCTCCACTGTTGTGCCTTCTGATTATTTCATTGCTTGTCAGTCCTTTCACCAAAAAGCAGTAGTACTGGTGAAACAATTAGTAGATGATGGAGACTAAAGACTAAAATGAAGCCATGGTCCACTAGGCTTTTAGTTTTTTATGATCACATTTTGTTACCTTCTAGTTGAGAGTTGAATATGTTTTTCAACTTAAAAGAAATGTAAAAGTTAAATAAATTCTTAACTTTTTTTGAGTAAGAAAATGTTCTATACAACTGTATTGTTTTATGAATAACACCTAAATACTAAACCATACCTCCCCCTTTTTTATACAGATCTCGATTGGGCTGCCAAATCTGTTTGACAAAGTCTATGGACAATATGACTGTTCAAGTACCGGATGCCATGTCTGATGCCAGACAATCCATCGATATGGGCAAGAACTCCTAAGATAGAATAAATGGGAATATTTTCACAAAATGTTACCTATTTTTATAATTATTATTTCTTAATTAAATGAGAGCATGGATGAATGAGTTTACTATGATGACCTGCTTTACTACTTTAATTCACCTTGTATAATTACTGAATTTTGTAGTCCGAACGTATGCAATCTTTGTTTTGTTTAAATTATAAAAAGCAAATCAAATATTAGAAAACATACGATAAAACGGCACATATTTTACCTTACGTTTGTTTAGCAACTTTAGCAAAATGTTTTCATATAAATTCTATGCCTATTTGCCTATAAAGTAGGTTTAAAAAGGCACTATCCCTGTGAGATGCGGGTGAAGGCAGAGATCCAAGAGTGAATTAGAAAATCTGTACCAGAACCCACATCCTGTTACTACAAATTTTACAAATTTAATGTTTAGATTGAAACTGGAGAAATTATGAATATCTTATTTATAGTGGTAATTAATGTGAATGTGAATGGAAAAAAAACTGTTGCTTCGTTCACTGATTAATTTCAAAGACAGTTGTAACCTTATAAATAAATATTTCAAAATTTTATTCAGTGAAAAGTGTAAGTCTGAGCATAGGCAATGTAACCCTGTCAAATATGTTGGGTCTCAACATTTTAAGAAGGGCTAGTTTACTGTTGTTTTGTGTTTTGAAAGAAGTTTGGACTAAACTGGAGGAATGAACAAAAAATTAGGTGTCTTTATTCTTTTCTGTCCTAAGCAGAATGGTGTGTCTTTGTAATATTTAAAAAATAATGCTGATCTATAAATCTCTGCCTGTAACAAAATAGAGGTCTTCTGGGTTAGGTTTTCTCTGTCCTGAGCCGCAGAAGGAAATGAGCAGACTCACCCACTGCATAGCTGGGCAGGGGCGAGCCCCTTCCACCAGGACAGAGCTGCGCGGTGTGCAGTGAGCTCGGCAGCGTGCATCGTCCCGGAGATGCGGGGATGGCTCGATCACCACAGATGACCAGTTACGCATAGCAGACATTTATATCTTTGTCTTTACTCCGAGTACCCTGGTAAATGATATAAAAGGGTTTGCAGTGTCTCTTGTAAATATAATAAAACATCAACTAGCTTGGACTAATCATGGGGAAGGGCAGAACAAATAAAAGGAGAAAGTGAACTATAAGACCCTTGAGTTAGCTTCAGGCACATCTGTGCAGTTTGATCATTTGCACAAATATTGGTTAAGTGCAGTAATTGACCTACAACATTTTGTTGTGCCCATTGGGGAATACAGAGGTGAAAAAGATAAGGATGCCCTCAGGAGCTCACCTTTTATTAGGAAAAGATAAAATTCATGTATGCACAAATAATTTGCTTGAACTTAGCCAACCATATTTGCCAAATAGAATACTTAAAGCTAACACGTAAAAAATGATTAGGAAGAATTTAGGGGAATGTTCATTTGACATTTTATAACTATCGAGTGCCTTCTATGTGGAGAGCACTTTACTATGAAGTACTTTAAAATAATTTGTTCTCTTAATTAGCTTCAGTATTCCCCTTTCATTCTTTCGTGGATTACCTAAACTTTCCTTCCCAGAACTCTTAATGATGACATTCAGCCTAAACACTAAAATTTAGATTCTAATTTTCTCAGATTTCAAAATATAAAAATTTATACTAATGAAGTTTAATTGTATCACTTAAATAAAACCTACCAAACTTATTAAATGGAGGATATATCCTAAATTGTTTGGTATAAAGATTATTGTTTTCAGTTTGAAAAACAATTCTTTCATGTTTAATAGTGTGTGCATTCAGGTAACTGTTAGTTGTCTATTACTGCAAAACAAATTGCCCCAAACTTAGTGGCTTACGACAACAGTGATCTCCATTTGTATGGGCAGGAATTCACAGTGCAGAGCAGGATGGCTCATCACTGCTTCACAGCGTCTGTGGCCTAAGCTGGAAGACGGAAAGGCCGGTGCTGCAGCCATCTGCAGACTGATGATCCCCTCATGTGACTGCACGTGGGTGCTGGTGTCAGCTAGGGATCTAGTAGAGGCTCTTGACTGGAACACCCCCACGTGGCCTCTCTGTGTGGCCTGGGCGTCCTCACAATGATGGCTGGGTTCTAAGAGCCAGCACCATGAGAAAGCTTGCATTCCAGGCAGAAGCAGTATCTTTTTTCTTTTTTTCAAATATGTTTTTATTGATTTTAGAGAGAGGAAGGGAGAGCGAGAGAGGGAAAGAAACACTGATGTGAGAGAGATACATTGATCACTTGCCTCCCGTTGAGCCCGCAACCTGGGAATGTCCTGACCAGGAATCGAACCGGTGACCTTTCAGCGCATGGGATGACGCTCAACCAACTGAGCAACACTGCCCAGGGCAGAAGTGCTGTCCTTCTGATGACCTAGTCATGGAAGCTACACAGTCTCACTTCTGACTTTTTTTTCTAGAAGTGAGGCACTAAGCCTAGCCCATCATTTGAATTGTATGTCAAAGAATTTGCATACAATTCAGGGGTTCTCAACCTTCTGGCCTTTAAATACGGTTCCTCATGTTGTGACCCAACCATAAAATTATTTTCGTTGCTACTTCGTAACTGTAATGTTGCTACTGTTATGAATTGTAATGTAAATATCTGATATGCAGGATGGTCTTAGGCGACCCCTGTGAAAGGGTCGTTTGACCGCCAAAGGGGTTGCAACCCACAGGTTGAGAACCGCTGGCATACATATTTTAAAGCCACCACAGTAACCATTATTTTTAGGTTAACTTACATTATTGCCTTTGAAATTGGCCTTTTAACTAACAGTGTTCTAAACGTTTTTAAAAAGGGCTAGATTTTACTGTTATATTGTGTTTTGAAAGATTCTTGTGTCTTTATTATGATGGTTTGTTTTGTTCTGTAACTCCCCACGGTTTTCTTGACAGTTGATTTAACGATTGGCTCTCATTCAATGCTGTGTAATTTTAGTTTACATTTCATGTCATTTTACCATCAAGAAAGGTATCTTCCTTTGGTGTAATACTTTATATAATGGTTGGTTATGTGCTAATACTTAATATTTTATGTGGTTTTCTCAGATAAAACCAACCTGTAATCACATAAGTAACTCAGAACTGCTTGGTTAGTTTTTTGAGTGAGCCATTCTAAGAATTTCCAAAACCTTTGCCTAACTTTCACTGTGAAAATATTACCTAATTTTTGTCTTAAAGGACACGGTTCCTTTTTCTTTATAACTAATTAAGGATCTTGTGGTAATTCATGTGGTTTCTATCATGGTCACTCAGTGTTTATTAGAACTATGACATTTCACTTGAAAGATTTTTTTCTAAGGGAAACGTACATTCATTATATGTTTTCCCATATTTTCTTTTTCTTCCTTTTTATATACTACAACTCTTCTGATTGCTTTTCTTTCCCTGACACTACCTGAAGTATTGTGGTTAACCACATTTTGTAAAAGGTGGAAGATTTCTACATTCTGAAGAATAAGGTAAACTGCATTTTAGATCAGAATTTGTTAGATGGCTTTCTTATTTATAGGGTAACTTATAATTCAATGAAATAAAAAAAATAGTAATGTGTTTTATGAACATTTAAAATAATATATGAAACCTATTCTAAGTATAAGCCATTCAAAGACATTCAAACATTACATATCAACTTTGTTTCCTATTACAGACATATTTAAGAATAGAAATAATGTCCTGGTTAAGCAACCAAAGGATTCCTTTAATGTGTCAACACTTCGAATGATATCAAGTTATTTTTATCAGATTTTTTTCTGTTTATAAGTTTTTAGAAACTGAAAAATTAGGAAAGCAGCTGGAGGTGGAAGGCGTGGTCACTTGCAGACAAGTAAATGTGGGCTGTACCAGAACAGAAACAGGGAGCTAAAAGGTAATCTAAACCTCCCAGAAGCACCTTAGGAGGCAAGTGGACAGGAAAGATCTTCAGAGTGAGTGGCGTAACTTCTGCAAAAACTGTTAGCAGTAAATCATCTGATCAGTGTCTTCTCTCTCTTTTTGACTCCCATTTGTTCATCTTATTATCTGGATGTATTCTTTGTCATTTTATTTTTAGACTTGAGTATTGTAAAATGAAGTGGGGCCATTGTGCCTTCGTGGCTCCTTTTGTCTACTAGTCATTTCTGAAACCATCAACACTCAGCCTGACTTACCCAGTGGCCTTTACCGTCCCTCACCTGTGCCCGTGCTCTGCCTCAGACAGCCCTTTTCTAGCATTCACTACATTTGTTACATAACACCGCACAAAGCAAAACTCACTGTATTTTCTCCCTGATAGATTAAGCTTTCTAAGAGTGAGGACTGGGCCCTAGCCTTTTTGGCTCAATGGATAGAGCGTCGGCCTGCGAACTGAAAGATCCCAGGCTCGATTCTGGTCAAGGGCACATACTCGGGTTGTGGGCTTGATCCCCAGTACGGGGCTTGCAGGAGGCAGCCAATCAATGATTCTCTCTCATCATTGATGTTTCTATCTCTCCCGCTCCCTTCCTTTCTGAAATCAATAAAAATACATTTTAAAAAAAAGTGGTAAGTGGGTTGTGTTCAACTTTGTAACTGCAGCATCTGTCATAGTATTTAGCCCATAGTAGGTACACAATATATATATGAATTAATCAAAACCTGGTCTTATAAGAAATGTGCATCTAGCATCCTGCCCTGTGGCAGTCACCTGTTGTGGATGAGAATACTTAAGCTCAGTATAGGCCTATCTACTGAGCCTGTATCCTAACCCCAACTTGACTGGAGTCAGGATACATGGGAGATCAGGTAGTTTCCATTATAATAAAAAGGACTATGTTCAACTTGTCATAATTTTTTAAACATGTCTTGGATGAAACAGCTTTTGAATGGGCTGAATGCAGGTCCCTCTGCTGGTCTTAGATCTTGTAGGTCATTGATTCTTGAAATCTGAGTGTTGAGATCTGGTGGGTGGGTCAGTAACTCCATTCCCTTGAGACACGGGACACTGCTTTGACCGTGATAAATGGGTGCTTCATCTTGGAAGTTTCTGACATCGTATTTCAGATAGCCCCCCGCCATTTCTCCTCAGCATAAGGCTTCCTATTGGTCCTGATGAGGATTCCTCAAAGTGGTGGAAAAGGGAAGGTAGTTTACATAATATTCCCAAACCAACAAGCCAAAGACAAATATTGAGACACTCAACTTAGTTTTGTTTTAATGTTCTCTCACTAATAGTCTTATTTTGTTGTTAACTGAAGTCCAAAGATTGAATGAGCCTCACTGAGACAGCAGAGTAAGCTCTCTTCTGAGGCTTGGGGGAGGGGAAAACAATTTGTTGTTTGAAGACCTGGGTACCAGACAATGAGCCAAACTTGGAAATAAAGCAAAAAGATTACTGCTGGTCCCTTCGGAGTTGTACTTAGAGTCTCAGCCAGCTTGGCTCAGTGGTTGAGCGTTGACCCACCCACCAAGAGGTCACAGGTTGGATTCCAGGTCTGGGCACATGCCCTGGTATGGGGTTCGATCCCCATTAGGGGGCATGCAGGATGCAGCTGATCGATGTTTCTCACATTGATGATTCTTTCCCTCTTCCTGTCTCTAAAATTGGAGAGGACAAAGGGAGGATGGCCCCAGGAAGCTGGCTTTACTGTTTTTCTTTCCTCCACCAGGGGTTAAACATTTGTCTAACATACCAGTTCTCAGCCGACTGGCTGGCTGCATTTGTGCAGTAATCACACA